AAATGGATGAATTACAAAAATTCACCCCTGCTACCCCTCATACAGTCTGTGCATAAACACCTGAAATATTCAGACCAAATAATTTTTTTGTGCAAGGCAGTACACATGTTTATTTCTGCTGTCGGTTTTTTAGAATGGGTGTGTACAGGACTGGCCAGCCTTAAGTGGAAACTCAAGGAACAGCACTTTTTTCAGCATTGCATTGGCTTCATTTTTCATTTTGGTTATTGTATATCATGCTTGTATTATAATTTAGTTCAAAGAACTGCTGTACATATTAGTATGATTGAATCACTAATAATAGCTGTGAACTTTAAGCTTTAAGTGTTGAGTACAATTCACTATTAGAAAAGTCATTTATATTATCCTCTTAAGCCTTTAGGTAGTAATATAAATGACTTTTCTTTAAGGCAGTCATCTAGTTAAGGGCAGAAGTAATCTTCTTTTCTTCCACAAAAGGAGGAAAAGTGGAAATCAGTTTCTCAGACATATTTACAGTCAACAGTCTGTTCTTTAGATTAAAAACAAACCTTGAATTTTTGTTTTTGAACCTTGAATTTTTCCTTGTTGTTCAAGTTTGTTCTTGTCTTGAACCTGAGGCAGTATAGAGGTGACTGCTTTCACAATGCCCATATTATCTCCGACTTTTCCGCATGTTTCCTCAGCTTTTTAAACTAATCTGAGGAAAAGTTCACTTTGTCTTTGAATGACGTCTTTGAAGGTAAACAGGTGAACTTTTCACTGTAAATAAAACTCTTTTTTGTAAATGTTTGGTAGTTTCATTGATTTTAAGGGCAGTGAGATAAAGACAGTGGCAATTCTAAAGTCTGGGGCCTCCAACCAGCATTCATCACCACTTTTTCTGCCAGTGTCCCGACGCTTCTCTCTCTCCTTTTCTCTCCAGTAAACGAATAATTCTCCTTCATTTCTTTATTGACCTTCATTGACAAACTTTTGTTTTCACAGCAATAATGCATGCAACGTTTAGCAGGGCAATGAGAGTGAGTGTTGTCAGATTGGGCCCCCTTAGGGAGGTTTCCTACTGTCATTGCAAAATTTGCACATTTTGAGACGCTGCAATTGTTTAAAGTTTGTCAGCCCTCAGGCCCCCCTACTGGTCTGGGCCCCAAGCAGTTTCCCGCCTTGCCTGTTGATAAGCAGCACCTCTGGTTAAAGAGTGGCAGAATGGATATTTCTTGTGTTTCCCTCATGCTAGAGTGTTGGCAGGTCATGCAATACAAGCACTTCCTGCAGTTTGAACAGAAAATAATGAACCCTTTTAATGAGTTGGTTTGTTCGGCTCCTCTTTTCAAGGTGTCTACAGGAAACATTTATGTGTTAACCTGTTATTAGGGCTCAGCCTTGTGTCCCTCACCTCTATTAACAGCCTTATGGGTCTCCCCTGTGTGTCTGAACATTACAAGGCTTGTCTGATGGGACCAGGGCCCAGTTCTCTACATGGGTGGGAGGTTAGCTGGGGAGGTTTTTGGGGTGCAATGGTCCTCAGAGCAGCTGGACATCTGGGTCCCATTAAAGAGGAGGTGGGGGGTGGATCGAGAGGGTGGGAGGGTAAAGAGAGGACCAAAAAAGAGAAGCAACAGATGGGGGAGAAAGAACAAGAGAGAATTGGGACAAAGTGATAAAGGAAGAAGAAGATAAAGAAAATTGGGCGGGCAGGTCTGATAACTCTTTTGTTGCAGAAACCTAAAATGGAAGCAGAAATCAGGGAAAGTGTAAGAAAGGGCAAAAGAATGCCATTCTGAAAGGCTGGATAGCACACTTTTATCTCACTGTAGCCAGTGTGACAGGAGATTGGCTGACAAGTCTGGAGATAAAAGTGCTGAAGCTGGATGCATTCAGAGTTCGGTTCAGTTAGTTTTGTTTGTCTGAAGCTTTGCCAACTATCGAGAAAATCAACGGCAATGCAGTATGACTCGATCCAAACAAACTCTGATCACTGTCAACTCTCTTTTTCGAACTCTGGCTGCGTATTTAAATGTTTCAAACGCAGGAACAATCTCTACAGATATCTTGCTTTAAAGCCCATGTAAAAACAACTGGTTTGAATGTGTCAGCAAACAAAGAAACCACTGGCTGTTATCAGATTTTGTTCGTAAACTCTTGGCACACAGTTGACTTTACTTTTGTTTTAACCTAGCCTAGACCGACGCAAAAAATGATAATTTGATGGAAAATAAAAGTACAAAAATGACTAAAACTGTCATTTTGCCAGAAAGGCTTGTTTATGTACAATCTTTAAGTTATAGTCAGAGGCTAAATTAGAAATATGGTTTCAGGGGAAGGAAGCGGATCTAGAGGGCGTCCTTGGTGATCCATGAAATTTGATTGTTAAAATCATCCGTTTGGGCACCTTTAGCTTAGCTCGTATACACTTAACTGTAACTTTCGAAATTCATCTTCTTTTTCAGTCCTTAAAAGAGTAAGCTAAGAAGACTTACATGTTGCCACTCTTATGTGATACTTTTTAATGTTAAAAAAAAATACACATCTGTAAGATACTTTAATGCCAGTAGTTAAAGTAGATATAATTCATGGACATAGAATTATTAAATGCTATTCTTCTGTTTTCCTGATCGTGTTAGGGCAAAATAGCAATTGAAATTGAGACTTGATTAATTGCAGAGCCCTTCGTGTGTCGTGTATGAACACAAACTTCAGGCCAATCCACTAAAAGACAGTGCCCCAGGTGGGCCACCCCAGTCAAAAAGTCTGGATCTGTCCCAGTTTTAGGACCTTCAGATTGACATATTTCTGCATTAGAGAGTACAGATCTAAAGTCAGTTGAAGGTAAAACAACACTCTCTTCAAATATAGATGAGTTATTTTAACCACTTGAAAACACTTTGTAAAAGTATCAGATGATGGTGAACCCAATGGCTGAACATGCTGACAACAAGTGCCATTTGTTTCCTGTATTGGGGTTAAAGGTCAGAGGTGGCGGCGGAGGTCGGCTTTCCAACTCTCCCGTCAACAATGCTGACAGGGGACGCAGAGACTGAGGCTGTCGCAGACTGTCTGCAGGGTTATCATGTGGGTGGTAGAACTGTCGCACTGCTGGTACCAGAAACAGAGCAGGGGGACCACCACAGTTTGGTAATTGCCTTCTGACCCCTGGTGGCTAAGGGGCAACAGGCTGAGACTTCCAGACTGGCCCTCAGTCCTGGTTGCTCGGAGGGCTAATCACCCCGTTTCCCCCTCATGTGCGGGAACTCGCTGACCCTATCAGTTTCACAGAAGGAAAGACCTAAACTGGTCTGTTTGGTCGGCTTTTTTTTTTTTTTTTTTTTTTTACACCATAAGGAAGAAAAACATCAGAAAAAGAGCTGCTCATGAGAACGTAAGAGGAAGGAAAGGCGAGGACATGAGGTGGAGGAGGCTAGAGAAGGAAGCTGATATGTGTCTGATTCGATTACACCCCTCTGTATTCTCTTTACAAAGTGCATGTCACTCTACAGGAGTACACGGTGTAATGTGTGTGTCTGTGTGTTTTAGGTGATGACTGAAGGTGGAACAAGCCCAAGTGGGTGGGTTTTAATCTGACAGAAATTGTTTTCGATGTGTGTGTGTGTGTGTGTGTGTGTGTGTGTGTGTGTGTGTGTGATCTGGGAAAGGCGAGTGTCAGGTGGGCAGCACTAATGTGCAGGAATGCAGAGATTCCACAGTGGCTTTGTGGATCGCCTCTGTCACTGAGACTGCAGCCCCCCCTCACCCTCTGAAACCCCAACAAGACCATGGGAATGAACTGAACAGGCGGCACCTTGAAAGCTCTCTCTCTCTTTCTACTGTTCACACACACACACACACACACACACACACACACACACACACACACACACACACACACACACACACACACACACACTTATTCAGTTGCACCATTGTACTGCAGGGTGAGTGTGCATTATAAAGACAGAATTAGGTAGATTAGACAGCGAGGGCGGATTAGATCCAGTTATGGTATATTTATCCTCTCGCTGCCTGTAATTTCCCGAGAACATCTAATAGCTTCACGCTGTGTGCACCTGCTCTCATTGTATTCAACTTTTATTGTGTACATCCCCAAAAGCAGAAGCTTCACTGCAACATCAGATTTCTTGAATTTAGTATTCTGATGTAAATGTTTCCATTTATCAATATCTCGGTGAAAGTTGAGAAGACCTCTCTCCTCATTTGTTTATGCAGTTGGCACTTCCCCTCTTGACCAAGCTGTTAAATGTCTGCCGCTATTAAATGTCTGTGTTTGACGAGGCCTGATTACCGCTGGAGATTCTCAGCTTTGATCAGAGCAGATGAATGCAGATGGTATGAATACAGCTTCCTCTTAGCCTGATGTAATTGGCCAAATCAGCCTACTGAACAGGAAGCCTGATTGCTACTGCTATTTTGTTTATGTGGCGCACTATGTGTGTGTGTGTGTGTGTGTGTGTGTGTGTGTGTGTGTGTGTGTGTGTGTGTGTGTGTGCAAACAGGATGCATAATTAGCTTCTTATTTAAGTGGCTGCACACATATGACCTGGGTTGCAGACTTCCTGAGTCTGGGGTTCTGGGTCTGGGGGATCTGATATTAGTAGATGGTAATGACCCGGTAACTTGTTTGCTACCAACCTACCTGAGTATAAATAACCTGTACCAAATTATACAAATCTGGGTGTGTGCTGCAGTTCACACTTTCAGCCACGCAATAAGACATGACAGCAAAGATTAAAAGAAAGTTTCAAAGTTTAAACCATCTCAGGGGTATAGATCAATTCAGGAGAGCATGTGTTTTTGCACATCTGGGGGAGCTTAAACCACAGACTGTATAATTGAAGTGGACATCAAATTGGCTGCATGCGTTTGTGCCCTGTTAGCCAAATATGGTCACTTCAAATTGCAGAATTGATAAAAAGGAATATCCATTTTTTTTCTTTGGACTTAACACGTTTATCGTTCTGATACAAAACCCTTCGACTGATCTCTCTGTTTTCCCGCTTCCCCAGCAGCCATTGACTGTGTGGTGGGCTCCTGGGGTCCCTGGTCTTCATGCACATCACCATGTAGTGTGGGCAGCACGGAGAGGAGTCGCCTGGTGTCTGTTCCTCCGAGAAACGGAGGCACGCCATGTCCCGACCTCAAACAGCGCCGAGGATGCTTCGGAAACAACACCACATGCAGCACCGCGAAAGGTGAGAACATGACCTTTTAACTGACCCTGAAATGCATGCATGAATGCAAGCACGTACTCTCACTCTGGCCTCTGTTACATATTAATTTGGTATTTCAGTAGTCCCCAGAGTACAACTTGTTCACACTTGTACTGTAAGTAACACATTTGCACACATCTGGTCTGAAGCCTTATCTCCAGCTGCAGTGTTTCAAACATCTCCGTTCTGCTCTTGACTGTTGAAACACTTTTTCTAGAAATTAAACATCACCAGGACACAGATAAACACTTTTCCAAGAAAAACAAATGTGGCATTTCATTATCCCTTTACTGTTCTGTAATTTAAAGAAAATTTCCAAAAGTATAAAGAAAAAATACTAAATATAAAAACACGTTTTAGACATGATTGCTGCCATTTAATTTCCTCCATTTTAACCCCACCTGACCTGCAGAGGTGGCAATGATCCTGCCTGATTCTTTCAAGAGGAACTTCAAGGACCCGTGGAGGCGACCACACATGCTGATGAAGGAGGAGAAGGCCAGGTAAGGCCTTAATTATCAGACCACAAACAAACATGCAAGACTGCTCAAAAGTGACCTAGCGTGGCCACTTTGTTTTTGTCTGTCATGCTGGCTTTCATGTGCAGTCGATGCAGAGGGGCGTAATTAGAGCTGAAATGCGTGGAGCGTGGAGTGATTTTAAGTTCTGCCCTACAAAAAAGTACCAGTGTAACTTTCCTAAAAAAGCAAAACGTGTTTTTCAAAAGCATCCATTATTCTTTATTTCATATCGTTTTTTTTTTTTTGCCAGCATCATCTTTTCTTTCATGTTTCAAGCTCTGAAGCTTCTTTTCAACTTTACTTATATATCTGGGATTTATTATCATTCATATATGTTTTTTCCCTTGGTTTTGTCTTAGTTTCAAAGGTCAATTTAAGATCAACTTTGTGCTCCAAAAGATTACAGAGTACAGACCATGGCCAAGGTTGCCAAAGCTACAGCGCCTTGAAATTGCTTTGACTGTGTAACACGAATGTTGTCATAGAATATCAGCATCATGAGCTGACCTTTACTGATAAGACGACCATGTAAGAGGAACACTCCACCTGCTCAGATGTCATATTTGATCTAAGCCGTTTGCAGATGTTCTCAGATCTGGAAAAACAAGTAACGAGGGGATAAAATCAGGGCTGGCTTCCAGACAGCCCACAGCTCTTCATACTGATTAAAATGCACATCAGATACCCTTGTTTTGACTGAAATACAAAGCATCAGGGACTTGGAAGAACATTACTCATAAATGTGAGGGATATGTTTGAATAATTTGCAGAGACATCTGGTGCCTGTTTTTTTTTTAATGGAAGATGGCCAAGGAAAGAGGAGTTCAAATAACACAGTATGATGATCTCAGATTGTAGATGTGACATGATCTGAATGAGTCACATTTTACAATGATTTAGCAGATTACTTAAAGTATCGCAATTGTGTTTGTAATTCACATTCGCAATGATATAGCTGGAGTAAGACCTCAAGAGTCTCTGTAAGAAAAACTATGTCTTCATGTTTTCTTGGACATACCATCCCACTGGGGATGGTGTTTTGTCGCAGCTGACTGAATCAGAGACAAAATAGATAGTGCAGAAGTTCAAAGATCCTGCCAGAGAAAACAGTGAGCAAAAAAACAAGAACGTGTTATTGTTACCAGTGAACAGACTGAGCTGTGTTGATATTAGGATACGGCAGGTGATCACGACACTGCTGGATCACCTTCAAATGGAGCTAATCTCGAATCAGAATGTTTCATTTGTCTGGTCGTTGTGATCAAGTACAGCTTGCTTTGTTGGTGAAAAATTGGCAACATTGGCTTTGCTTTGGAACAACTTCAAGGGAAGAGTTGACACCTGTGTTATTTTGGACATGTAACATTAGACTGTGTGGTTTGCTGATGCTGTAGTAGCATATATTTATGGAGGTTTTGATATACGATAAGTGTGATTCAACTTTTTTGACCCCTCTAAATTATTTTTGTTGCCAAAATTGGGTATCATAAATAAGTGAAATTTTGTCTATTATTTTTGACACCTCTTCTTTCTCTCCTTCTCCTCCCTCTGTGCGTACAGTTACTGTGTGTACATGCGTGTAAAACAGGCCAGTGCAGTGTGTAAATTCAAACTGAGTGCTCAGCTGGTGAGAGAGAGACTGGTCTGTGCAGAGTGTCAGAATGATGCCATGTCAAAGTCAGACCGCTGTGGAGGCGACGGCCGAGAGAGCACCAGGTAAACAAAAACACTGAAATACGTAACTGAGAGAGTTTTGTTCATTACACTCCTGAGAGTTTTTGAGTTTAGGTTAGTGGGCCTGAACATCTTTTAACAAAGCGTAGACATCAGTAGCAAAGAAGAGTCAGAGAAAGAATATTTTACCGTGCCATCGACTACGGAGTGAAAAGACCCTGAGGTCGGCACTTTAACTAAATACTAAATTAGATGTCAGGCTCAGCTAGGCTAATAGAATGTATGTCTTCAAGATCAAGTGCAAGCTGTTTGTGACAGAAGTAAAATAACTTTCCATACATACAATGAAAACACAAGCACAACACCACAGCAAGGCCAACACCAACGCTACTGCCATCACAATCAACATCACAATCATTAACACCATCACCATCACCTAACAAACACCAACAACATCAGTAACAGGAACATACATCCTCGCCGACTCCATAACAGCAACACAAACAAAAACACCATCACCAACAAAGACAATAACACTAACACCATCACCAATGCCACCACCATATTCCTGAAAAATATTACCTTCCAAGAAAGGAGTGACCTTTTAACTTGCCCCATATTCCTGCTATGACAACAAGGACGCATCATTGTGAAGGATGTTGGACCAAAATCATCATCTGCACTGTCTTATGGTTTCTATACATCAAATTGTATCTCATGAGTACAAATGGGAAATACTATAATCATATAGAAATTTCCCACAAAGTAGACTGTGATTACACACAAATACGTTTCCTATATTGTAACTCAGGGATATAATGACAGATGATCCGTTTTTGTTGCAGAACGTTCTGGTCAGCAGCCTTAGTCCCAGGGTGTCATGGCTCCTGGGTGCGAGAGTCATCTTCTGAGGGCTGCCGGTGCCCTCCCTCCTCTGTGCTCTTTGTGTGAGTCAACATGTAACCCCAGACATGTGTATGCAGGGACAAGATTTCCCTCAACACCTCCTGCTTACTGTGGAGAACCATGCCAGCCAAGCCAGACCGCTCCGATCCAGATTACTGGATGGGTAACTCAAGGAGATCAGCAGCATCCTGCCACTTTTTCTTTTCACCTCATTCTCTGTACTGTATACACTTTTACTAAGCACACAAAAGTTCTTGCATTTTACAGCCACATTATGTTCTTATTCTCCTCCAAAGCACAGCAGCATCTATATATGCCTTCTTTTTTTATACCTCTGAATCTTTGCTATCTACCTCCATCAATATAATGGCATTTGTTTATGCATAATGTATAAATATATGAATATATGATTTTGCTTTATACATTTTCTACTTTTGATTGTTTATGTGTTATGTATATGTGACTATATGACTACAGTTATTTGTATACAACAGTATAAACACCAAACAGCAGTTGCTGCACCCAGTTTAAGCTCCAATCCTAAGGGTCTTTAATGACCTGCAGGTTGGAGACCCTGAAAACTGGTTCATCCAAATGTGTCCATCGCTACAATCCTTGAGTTCATATTTTTGTGTTTCAGAGTTAAGTCCTTTTTATCTTTCAACAAAATACATTTATACCAGCAAGTCAAGTTGGATGTCAGGTATTAATTCTCAGGTCCTGAGATTTGTGTCTTTGTCTCCCATCAAGCTTCCGCCTTCTGATGTCAACTATTGATCTTTGAAGTCATCTTTAAAGTGACTCAGATCTGAAATCAGCCCCATTTGTTTAGACCTAAGGTTGTTGGAGCGGAAAAAGAGCCATTTAAGAGAATCTCACTGTGGTTCTCTCTGTCCTCTGTGTCCAAGGCAGAATTGCTTAATAACTCTTGTTTTCACTCCCCGCCCTCCTCAGAAAACCTATTACCTTCACAAGGGAGTTTATTATCCAATATAACTATCATGTACAGCCGCGTTCCTCCCATTTTATTAGCAGAATCTCCTCCCAGCACTCCCCAAGGCTCCTTCATCTTCACTCCTTTTCCTTCTTGTCCTGTGGTGTTGTCTTTAAAAGAAACTACAGCTTGGCCACAGCATTACCTGCTTAACTTCAAAAAGAACAGTTGGCTCAGTTCAGCTTCCCTCATCTCTCGATCTGTCAGTTTGAGAGGAGGACACGTGGTACCAGTGAAAGGCTTTTCTCTCAGGAAAGCCGTGTCCTTCTCTTTCTTTCCCTTCTCTGTGTCTGTGTTTGTGTTTATTTATTATAAAACTGGTAATGATTTTATTAGTGCAGCACAGCATACTCTGTACACTGTCCATTATTGAAAATAAAAAAACTACACTGTAATTGAATCCCTCTCGTCATATTTTCCAATGTGGAATATCTTTGCGCAACATTGAAATGTTTGTGTTACACAGTCCATCATTAGCATTTCTCCCCTCTCCCCTCTGTGATAACTACTATGAGCTAAGCTAAGCCCTGATAAGTACATCCTTCATTCTGACCAGTGTTTACACGCAGAACCTCACAGTTAAGCAGGGGAGCACTGCTGAATATACATAACTCAATGCAAACATGTACCCATCAACATACCTTTGTTACATTCTTTGCATGTTTTTCCTGCGGTGTAAACGAGATGACGACAAGAAAAATGACAACTAATGTCTATAATCGTGCTTTGGCGTAACATTCTTCAGCAATTTGGGGTCTGCTTTTGTTATGTAACTGTAACTGCCAGAGAAGATGTGTGGATGGGCTAAACACAGAGCCCGAGAACATGGACAACAAACAGCATCCGAGAAAAAACATCTGCAATTACATTTTTACTGCACAGTACAAACACTGATCACTGTTTGGGAGGAAATTAAGGAAAAATGGAAAAGGTACTATGACCTTTGTGGAAAACAGGAGGAACAAATATCTGGCAAATCATCGATTATAGTCCTTTGGGAAAGATTCTCCTGTCTTCTTTTGTGTTTCATCTCTGCGGCACTTGATCTTTACCTCCTCCATTAATCTCTCCAGCCACCCATTCCCTGCACTCCCCTCTCTCCCTACCAAACTCCCCTCCGTCAGCACAACTCTTTATTTTCTCTTACTACAACAGTGGCAATAGAGTGCTGTCAGCCTGACAGTCCATCCCTCTGAAGCAGGCTTTACCCCCTGGCTGCTCGGACTCTGCTGCTAACCCGCTTTCCAAAGGGCAGGAAGACCCATCTCTGGCCCAGTGCCTGATGGGCTCTGACAGCAGTGTGTTCTGGGATTATGCCCGCTGAAAAGGGGGGCATTCCAGCACTGGCGGCCTTTGTCACAGCATGGCCACTGTTTGCTTTTGACAAGACAGCTGTTCAAAGCCCTCCTGGCCCTCACGGATGGTGTTAAAGGAGAGAACCCAGGGGTGACTTCCGTTTATAGGAGGTGTCAGGGGTGTGTAGAGCTACCTCCACCTGAGGGGGCTTCTGCACCAACCCTAGATTGTTTTACACAAAGATATTTGAGTCAAAACTCAGACCTATAGCAGATCATACACTTTTACCACGGTTACAGTCTGCGCCCACCCACTAACAACTTAAACACAACCAAGACCTTTAAATTACCAGTTCATTAATGTACTCACTTATTCCTAAAATTGATACCAGTAGTATTCCTGTTTGTTATTTCTTCACTTAACTGGGCTGGATAATGGAATAAAGAAAAGTACCCCAATTTCCACCCTCTGTGTCCCCCCAGTGTTGTAAGATGAGTGTGTGTTTTAAGACATGTGTACTGTAATTAGCAAGTCTACCTGATGAGGGCCTCTGCAGGAGCAGCTGGTCCAACACCTAGGAATGATAATGAATGGACAACTCCACATGTGGACATGACCTGCACAGCAACACAGCTGGTATAAATACAACACAGTCCGTACAGTAAACACACACACACACACGATGATCATATTGAAAACAAAAAGGGATGTCTTGTTTCTCAGGATCACGTATCATTACAAGACAATTCAATTGAACGCTTTTGATTGTAAATGCATTCAAATGTGTGCCTCTCTCTGCTGAGGCTCGACTTAAATCTACTGATCTTTGTCAGATTTAATCCTGCGAGGAAACAGTGTTGTGACAAACATGCTAGTTTCTCAATTGTAATATGGATTGGTGCCTTTATCTTATAGTGTCACCTTGTTGCTACAACACAGAAATATTAAAATAACCATGTAAATATGCACAAACCAATTCAGGATTAATAGCTGTGTCGGCAGGAGATCATGCGTGTTCCATCCTTGAGATGTGGCGTCACCTTGTGGTGCTTTAGACTTCCTGCTTCTCTTCTACAAATAATTTTTTCCAAACAACTTAAACTCCCCTTACAGATGCTTTTATTGGGTATGTGGTTTTGATAAGAATGCATGATAAATGGCAAAATCAGAAACATTATGATCCACATTTTGTCTATTTTTAACAGTTTCATTGGATTAACCTATGATTGAATTGAAAAGTTTTCATGTACACATGTATCCTAGTGGAGATATATTGTAAATAATAAAAGGGATATTCTTCAGATTAACTTCAGCTTCTTCACATTTTTGTGTTGTACAATAATTCACTTGATTTCAATCTGCAGTGTCCCATACGTTTCTCTATATTAACAAGCGATATAACACTATAGAAAGCACTGAAACAGCACAACGTACTTCAAACAAAGAAATCAATATTTCAAACAAAGTAAAGCATCTCATGAGGAGATGGAACAGTGGAGAAGGAATCATGGCACGGGACTAATAGCTATTCTAGCGCTCACACAAATATATAAATATGTAAGGCAAAAAGTGAACTGAGCTGGACATACAATGTGTTCGTACATAATGTGGAGGCAGGTCAAGTCGTTCCAGTTAGCACTGACATGAATCATACACACCAAACATTGTAATTTAAGACATTTTCTGTGTTCTTGTAAATCCACTTAATTATAATTTCTTGAATATCGAGCCATTTCTCTATGTAGCCTGAATGATGCACTAACTTGTGAAGCTTTGGTGATTAACTACATTCAGACTGAGGTTCAGTGGGGCAAGATGTGGAAAAAAAACTAATTTGAGCGTGACATAATCATCCCTTACATCCCTACACACATGGTGTAGAGTCATCCCTTCTAAACACATGTAACATATCAGTGAAGTGGCCGGAGCAGTTTCTAAGTAAACTTAGATTTATGGAAAGATCCAAAAAGATATGAAATGAAAAGTGTCAGTCATCCTGGAAGAAAAGGATTAGTTTCAAAATATGTTCACTTTCTTATCTGTGACAGTTACCGGTACGTGTTTCTACAAAGTTTATTCAAGAAAGGCCAGGACGTAGAGCAAAGTGGGAAGGACCTGTTGAAGTGTTCAGTTTCTGTAAAATGAGTCCCAAGTGTTAGCTTTTATTTGAGGTTCTTAATCTGTTGGTTCGTTTTGCTAATCTTCCCATCCATCTTGTCCACTTTATTCAGCAGAGCATCAATGGAGTCGTCCTGACTTTCAATCTCCGACTGGAGGCCAATTCCAAGGTTCTTCAGTCTGCTCAAGCCACTGCACATCTCATCTGCAGGATTTACAAAGGATTGTGTTCAATTGTTGAATAGAAGACAATCATTGATGGGGGTCTTTTAATTTCTCTTAAGATTTCAAATCTCAGTCAGAATATGCAGGACACTAATACATTTCAATAAAAACATGAATATATATATTTTTTAAACCAAGGCTATAGGTTGATAAATGTTTTGTTTTTCTTACCAACAATTACAACACTTTTCATTTGAAAATAACCAAATATTAACTTTCTCTCCTTATAAATACAAGAGGATTCATATGTAAAGCTTTTTTACCCAAGTTATTGTCGAGGGTCTGGTGTGCTTCCCGTAGGTGTCTATTTTGAGGGTATCCATTCTGCCGCGATGAGCTGTCATCTATCGATGCAGAAGCCCCAAATCCTGGAACAAGGTAAAGAATAATGAAGGCAACCAGTATTACTTTTGGT